ATATATAAAAATTTATATTTATAAATAAATAATTTTTTTTTTTTTTTTTTTTTTTTTTGTTTTGCACTATGGCTCAATCTTGTTTTGATTTATTGGAAGGAGTCTGTGACCATGGATTTTCCACCACAGAGACAAAACTTCTCTTTTTTTTTTTTTGGGCCATGATAAACAAAATTATGCTTTTTCTAAACCATCCCACTGAAGTGGACTGTGTTTACTAATTAGGTAACTTCTGAAGCCAGTTGGTTGTACTGGATTTAAGTTTACCAAGATCAAAAGAGGCTGAATAAAAATGCACAACACATATTTAAATTTCCTCTTTGTGAAAACCTTATCATTCCCCTTCTATGCTTCACAGTCGAGCAATACTTCCTGTTGGTCTAAAAAATAGAATCCCTGTACAAAGTTTGAAGTTTGAGGTTGGAACATGGCAAACTGTGTTATAGTTCCATTACTTCAAATAATTTTGCAAGCCATTGTTCTGTGTGTGTCCTAATTACACTGTTTTTTAGATAATCGTCACAATCACATTCCCTGAGTATCAACAGACTGCTGCAAACCAAGTGGCCTTTACATGAAACTCACAAATTTGAAATATGAGATCAGACGAAACACTCCTGGGCAAATTTGTTAAAGGGCATTGCTGGGGAAAAAAAAAAACTCCTGCTCAGTTTTTTTTTTTACGCTATGAGGCCCTGAAGGCATGTTTCAGGTTTGTAGAAACTGATAAATATTGTGAGGATGGTTTGTGACAGCTGGAAAATTATAAACAAATATCCTCCAGAGCATACGAGATAATCCCCTGTGGCCTGATGACATAAAAACACAATTTGTATAAACATACAGCTTTGCTGACCTCTTGTGGTGACTGCAGAAACAGGTTGTTTTCAGATGACCCAAACCCTCCTGCTAAACAAACTAGATTTATAAAGACACACAAAGACAATTACTCTGTACAGATGTGTATTAATGTATTAATATGCTGTTCCTTTTTTGTTTTTGTTGTTGTTGTTTTGTTTGCTTTTTTACTGACCCTGAAATAAAAATTAGTGTTTTTGTAGAATTCAAGATAATTACATTTCCAAAAGCTCAATTTTGAATCACACAGCTCCACTGAATAGCTAAACACATTCATCACAGGTATGCATTTTATGATAATTTGGTACTTTTTTTAGTCTGGAATGATTATATAAGATTTGATTTCTGTAAATTTTAAACACACAAAACAAACTCAAAAACAGATAAAAAAACAAAACAAAACAAAAAAAAAACATTTCCCTCTTACAGCTGTGTGACGGGTGAAATTTGAGAATGTTAAAGTTTGAGCACATAAACACGGACGTGAATACGTGGACTAGCAATGCAAGAGAAGAAAGATTCAAATTCAACTAGTCCCCAAGTGAAGTTTTATTGATAAATTGTTTAAAAAGTTTTAACCTAGAGTTCTGTCTTTA